TGTGGCATAGGTACAAATACTTTTTCACAGGCAATAAAAAGTATATCACAATGTACAGCAGATTGTTTTTTATTCTGACAATACGTATATTTACTGAGAAGCAAGCACCATTGATCCCAGCTTACTTTCAAGTTAAGCACGTTCAGAAATACCGACTTTATCTTGGTCATGTTTGCAGAGATTATATATTATCAGAGAAGTGGCATTTATTGTAGCTTATTGTCTTACTGGCTGCTGCTGCAATTGCTTTATATTTTTTTATTATACCCAAGCAGCCAATGTCAGTCCCTTTGTAATGGACCATTTAAAGCCTGAGTGGAGAAGCAATTGCTTCTTATTCATTATGTCAAAAAATGGTTAGAAATTTTCAGACTAAAGCTTGAATCTATGCAATACACACACACTATTGCTATAAAAATGCCACAGCTAATTTTCTATACTTTTTGCCATCTACTTACACAAGCAGCTAAGTTCATCTTACAGCTGTTTACTTTTTCACTGTTTCAGTTGGGCCATTCTGGTAAGTAAACCAGTGGCAATACAACAAAGTTGCAGAAATATCTTTCCATATCTGTTCTAGTCTGGCATTTGTCCAGAAAACCTGTCTGATACTATAATTTTGTGAATAACAATCAAATAGCCTGACCCATCCATGTTTTATTTTGTGTAACCTAGCAGCTAGAGCAAAAGATGTAAACAGTATTTGTCAACTTGCTTGTTAATGACAGGATGGGATATCAAAAAAAACTTTTAACCACTTTGAGAAAAACATAGTAAAAAACATTATGAGTGCTTCAAGAATTATGTGTATGTCTGTCCTGTGCAGAAGATATTATTGGGTTTTTGTTTGTTTGTTTGTTTGACCTTTCAAGGTTTCTGCATTAGTGAAAAAAGCTTCTTTTCAAAACCAGCCACTTTTCCCTTTGGGAAGCAGAGACACACACACTCAAGCACAGAAAAACAAAAGGAAGAATAAAAAATGTGACAGCAACTGATTAATTGGTTCTGCATTTTAAAAAGCCAGAAAAAAGCATCAGTAATCATAAGCTGCATTCAAAAATGCAACTTCTTCCACAGAGTCATAAGACGTTATCACACGTGGGCCAGAAAGCGATAATAAAGTGGAA